CCGCGCTGGGAGTCAGCGGGAGGGGAGAGGGGAAAACCCGAGGCCAGGCAAAACCCCGGGCGTGGGCCAGTTGCTCCCTCTGGAAGATCATTCCAGGGCCGCCACCACCATTCCTCGAGCTGCGCATCCCCGTCCCCGCTGCCGAGGACGATGGAGCATCCCGCAGCTTCCCGGGAGGGCGGGATCTGGGGCTTTACACGGGCACAACAAGAATTTTTTTGCTCAGCTCAGTCATTATATCCAACATTAAATACGTGTTTCAGCTTCCATCAGCTCAGACCCTCCAAGTCAAGCTGCCTGTTAAAGCATTTTATAATAATATCTAAATCTTTTAAACGTCTTTCCTCTGTCTGTAGGACTTCCTTGCCCTGGCTGCTACAGCACAACAGCAATACCTCCTCCCGGTTCAGGTTATTCCCTTTCTCTCCTCCAGCTCAGCCCTTCCGACCGAAGCACACCGGTACCACAGAAGCTGCGTCCACGCTTGGGCCACAGCAACGGATAAACCTCCTGGAAATGGGGAGCGGGGCCGTACCCCACTTCCCAGGCCGGCCCTGGGACAGGGAGCCCCTGACGCTGGCAGAGCTGGTGCCAGGGCCGTCCCTTCCGAAGGGTCCCGGGTCTGTGCTGGGGGGTTTGGCGCTTGGGGATCGTTTCCTTTCCCGCCCTTAAACCCGGCAGGAGGGACGGACGCGGCGCAGCTGCCGAAGCCACGACTCCCGGGATTCAGGGTGATTCCTGCCAGGCTGCGCTGCCTTGCACGCCGTGTTTTATATGCCTGCTCGCTCGATAAAAATAAATCTTCATGTTTGCAGTTTGCTTTAAGCTACATCAAGGTGTCAGCTGAACTGACGGCTCCCTCTGAGAAACGACTTCAGGAGGTGCCAGATTGCTCCTGGGTGAGCCTGGGTTCCCGCCCTGCGACAGGAGGTGCCGGCAGGTCCCACCAGCCCCAAAACCTCCGTTATGACAGAGACCCCCGTTTCTCTCCCATTTGCACCCAAAGGTCCATCACGCAAACACCCCTCCAGCACCCACGAGGCCCCACGTGCTGGCACAGACCCAGGGACGGCTCCTACGAGCAGCGACACCACCAGGACCCTCTCTCCTTCCCAGCACCCATCTGCAGCCACCACGGCCCCTCTCCCACATCCTCCAGCCCCGTCCCCTTCCCCTGTCACTCCCCGCAGCGATCAGGGGGGTCCCTCCCCGGCAGCGCAGCGAGGGGGGGCCCAAGGCCGAGCCCCCACCTCTTCCACACAACATCTTGCTCCCGCTCCCGCTGGCCGCGCTGACGCCCAAGGCCGGGCTACGCTGCCGGGCCGGGTTCAGGTCACACGTCGCTGGCGGCAGCCGCCTCCTGAAGGCACAACCTGCTTTGTTTTGCTTTTACGGGCGTTCTCCCCAGCTCAGGGTGTGGGGAGCAGCTTCCCCGCGCGCAGGGGACCCCCCAGAGCCGCTCGCCGAGGCTCTGGGAGCGCCTGGAGATGGTCCAGGCTGTGCCCGGCTCTGTGGAGCCTTTTTCCTCTTCTGGTGAAAACGTAAACAGAGCAGTGACCTTGCGGTCGTCTCCTCCCGACACAGATCTTGCATGAATCTGGGCTGAATCCAAACGATCTTATCTGCGGAGGAGACTGAGGATATCCTACTGCCAGGCGCTCTCGGCTGTTCAAACCAGAGACGGCCCCGCAGGACGGGGGAGGCGAGGGGATGGGGCAGGACCGGGGGAAGCCCCATCACCACCCCCCTCGCCCAGCTGCCCCAGTTCAGCACAATGGGGGGGGGGCTGCACCCCAGTCTCACCCTCCCACAGCCGCTCTCCCAGAGGGACCCCCCCAAAACTCCGGAAAAAATCCTCTGTGCTGGGCCTCTGCTGCTGGACCAGCCCCATCGGATGCAGTTTTAGTTAAAATGGTTTACAGGGGCCAACGCGTGCAGGGCCGAGCTGTATGGCCCCCACCGCGCTCAAGGGGACGGGTCCGGAGAAACGCAGCCGGAACAGCGGGCTTTTTTTTTTTTTTTTTTTCCCCGACGTGACCATGAATGCTTTACCTTGTTGTTGCCTTCTCCAGCGGGGGAGAGATGCTGAGGCCGCCGCATTCAGCAAAGTCACCCAATCAGCTCCCGACATCGCACAGCGAAATGATAGAGAAAGGAAACTCCCCCCCCAACGCCCGCAATGACTGCCTGGAGGAGCGGCCCCCACCCGCCTGTGAGCAAAAGCACCGAGTGCCCCGACGGCCTGGGAAATCTTCCACTTCCCACCGCGAACGGGGACGTGCACCTTCGGCCCTTCTCCAGGCAGCAGCTCCCCCCACGTTCCCAGTGCGGACCTGGAAGTCTCCCAGTCCCCACGAGGCTGTTTCTTACTCTGATTAAAAGACATCAGCTGCGTTGTGTGTTCAACATCCTCCTTCACAGCATCCTCACCCCGGAGATCCAACCTCTTCTGCCAAGCCCCAGCGCCCGCCCTGCCAGCTGCCCCGTGGCCGTCACCCGGGGACGGGGTTTCTGTCACCTCCCGTGGAGCGGGGACAGCACCAGCGCCCGCTGAAGCCGCGCAGGGCCCCGGCAGGGGAGGGCCGGCGCCTGGATCCCAACCCAGCACCGGTGCAGACACTGGTACCACCACGGCTGGGCGGGGGAGAACCTGAAAGCGGCTTCACAGCACAAATTCGAGCCCCTCGTCTCAGCACGGCCGCATCCAGATGGATGCCTCAGACCCCTTCAGAAGAGCTACAATACGAACAGAAATTCTCCTCTTAAATCAGCAAACGTTTGTCTGGAATAAACCCAAACCAAGCAGAGGTTAACACGTTCCTGGGAAAGCCATTAAGCGCAGGGCGCCCCAGTCTCCCTAAGGGAGCGTGGCGATGCTCCACCTCGTCCCGGGTCCCTTCGGTAACCACTGGAAGTCATCGTGCACTTCACAGTAACTGGCTCGGGAACGGGCATTTTGGTTTGATGCCCTTAATACGGAAGGAGCACGGGTATGAGCAAGTAATTCATACCCTAACCATCCTCATCTTCCCCGGCCAATTGGCACAGAGCAAGGGGAGGGCGTATCTTCTAAACCAGTAGCTACGTATCACACCTTGCACTGCACAGGAAGCTGCTGGAGTTCTGATAAACATGATCAAACTATTAAACTAAGAAATATTTGGCTATGTGGTTTCCGGGAAATGGTGCCTCAAACAAACCACAGCTACGGCCAGCAGAGACAATATTTTAGGTGCTCATGGAGCAGCGGTGGGCGTAGGGAAAGGAAGCCCAGACCGAGAGGGACGTTGCTTCCTTAAAAATGGGCGACGCGGTACAATCCGTTTTCAAAAAGGTTAATGAGCTAAGCTAACTGTAAACCTGCAAAAAACCCAAAAAAACCCCCAACCCCAAATTTAATTGCCAAGAGTCTCCCACACCTCCAGACTCGAGAAGGAAGCTGCTGACCCGCCTCATGACAGCAGCAGCGATGCGCAGGCTTTGGCCAGGAGCCTGTGAGCCCACATGTAGGACACAGCCTGCTCTTTGCGAGAAAAGCCCGCTGGTTTCATCTACCTTTGTCTGGCTGAAGAAAAAGTTCTGCTTTTGCAGAGACTCTGCCCCAGAGCGAGCCCGCCTGCCCAGCCCCGCTCCTGGACTGGCTCCTGCCGCTGTCTGTCGAGCGGCACTTCCCCTTTCATAAATCACATTTTGCATTCTGAGCATGCGTCTCCTCTTCCATGCCATTTTTGTTTTCAGATAACCATTAGCTTAATTAATCAAGGGAAATGCATCATTCCTGATTGTCCGCTCTGCCAGCTCAGCCCGGGACAGCAGGGAAACGCCTCCCACCGAAGCATCCCCGGGCGCCCCCCGGCATGCCCGGCCCGTGGTGTCCTGCCCCGATGGCCTCTCCCCAACACCCCGGGCCGCCGCTGCCCCTGCCCGCCACCACGCAGCCCCGCTGACACGTACAGCTGATTAAAACCCTCCGAAGATCCAGCGCAGCTAACAGGAAAAACGTGGATTCGAGCCAGAGTTCCCCCACTTCTACTCGCTCTCCGCGCACTTACAACCAGGTCCCGGGGGCTCCCTGCGGGCAGGTGAAAACCGCCGGCACCAAAGACAGCGCGCAAGTTCCTACTGACTTTGGAGCATCAGCTGAAACAAGAGACGCGCCGAGCTGTCAGCGCTGACCTTGCCCGCCCCAGGCAGCTGGGATGGAGCCACCTTTCTGGTGCGAGCTCCCAGAAGCCATTCCCGCCACCACGCCAGCACACCAGCAGCAGACCGGCGCGACAGCACATCAAACCCAACATCTGTGACAGCGGCATCCACGGCCGAGATCGTTCCACCCGGGTACGAGCCTCCAGGCCCGTCCCAGCCGGCACGGGGCATCCACACGCTGCGTGGCTGCTTTTCCTGGGCTCTACCCCGCGCCGCCTGGGAGAAGAGCTCCAGCTCCGGCACGAGAGCGTCCGTGGGCCAGACCGGGGCTGACACGGCCCCCGCGGTGGCTCCCACTGCGAACCAGCCCCAGCAGATGACACCCGGCTGGATGCTGCCCCACCTTTCTGCGGGTGCCACGTAATCCTCAGGATTTACAAAGGAACAGTTGTCAAGCCGACTTTTGAATTTATTTAAATAAAATGAAGCCTGGGAAGACCAGGCGGCCCGGGAGCGGGCAGCACGAGCCGGAGGGGTTTGGTTTTGCTGCGGGAACAGCACTGCCACGCGCCCGGACAGACACACGCCACAGCAGGACCCAGGGGCTGAGCAGCACCCCCCACTTGGGCAACTCCCCCACGGCTTCAGGTAGTCCCAGCCTAACAGCAGGGCCCACCTCGCCCAAACCAATTAACTCAGCTCCTCACAAGCTCGAGGCTCTCGTCCACACACATCAATGCGCCATCAACGACAGCATTTCAGCTCAGATCTTTCCTGGAAGAGAATTCAACTTCAAGCAAAAGCCCAAGATGGGGAAGGCCGGCAACCGAGCCCGTCTGGCAAGCACAAGATTATTCAGAGGGCAGTTACCGTCCGAGCAACTCGATTCCACTCGGGAAGGTTACGGGAGATCCCGGGGGGAGCGGGGAGGGAGCGCTGTGTCTCCGGCACCCGCAGACAGGCCCCACGGGCACGCCGCCCGGCTGCCACCTTCGCGAGCCCATTTGCGAAGGATTAGCCCCGCGCTGCGTTTTCAGCGGACTCCAGCAATCATTAATCTAGTTCAGAGACGGCTGCAGGCTTATTTGTGGAATTTGGACCATCTTCCCCTCTGGAGAAGTTCCACTCCTCGTCTAACCACGATCCTCCCAGCGCTGGGGTGGCAGCGCCAGGCGCTCGCCCAGCCCTCGCCAGCGGCTCCCCGGGCCCCGCCGCGGAGCTCTCGCAGCCCCTTTCGCTCGGGGGAAGCCCAGCCCTGCCTCGGCCTCGCCGCCCGCAGCACCACGCTCTCCTCCGCGCTTTTGGGGAAAAGCCAGAATTACACCCGATCCGCCGCGGCTCGGAGCCAAATTAACCTGCGAGCACCTGCTGCGGGGCAGCCCAGCCCCGGGACGCCTTCCGCGCCGTCCGCAGGCGGTAACAAACGCACTCCGAATCCCGGTCGTTTTTGTAAAGGTTTATAGTCCTTTGCAATGATTGCATGATACATTTTCTTCCCCCGTGACACAGCCCTCGGACCAGGAAGCGCCGCTGGCGGCTCGCGCTCCACCTCCCAGCAGCTGGGCTTTGCAATCCGATCTACACTAGCTGCAGAACATCAAATGCACTTTCAACATCTCCATTTAATATTTACATTCAAGCAATTAATAATTGGAAGCTTATAGTTTAGACATTTCTAATAGCAGCAATTTCTATAATAGCTCGTTTAGCTTTAAGATAACGATTTTTTTTTTTGTTTTTTGCACATAGAAACACCACATGTGTACAGTATCAAAAAATATATACCGGGGATGGTCCTGCGGGTCGTAAGGAGGGCAAGGGGATGAGACTAACAAATGCTGAATGGTTAAAAAGGAGAACAGAAAATACTCATTTGATATAGTTTATAAGGTGATCTAGGGACTCCATAAATCTAGGCTTTATATTTCA